ACGTGTAGACGAGGCGCTTAGGGACATGGTTGAGTGGGGATGGTGGTGTTGGGTTGACGGTTGGACTTGATGATCTTAAAGGTCTTTTCCAACCTTAATGATTCTATGATTCTATTTTTCCACACTTCCACTTTTTTCAGACAGAAATTTGGGCAGATGCTGAAATAAGCTCTTTTGGCTCAAGAGAGTTTGAAAACCTATGGAGTCTGCTTGACTCCTTTTAACTAAGGAAAAATACATCAAAAGTGCCACCACCCAGAAAGGACTCCACTTGTGGCAACAAAGCAAGAGGAGTTCACAACAGATTGTGTGCATCAGTGACTACAGTCTCTTCTCTCTTAACAGAGAGAAAGAATAGTTAGCAATTGTGATGCTAAAGTTACCGTCCCAGTTAGCCACCAGCAACTGAATAGTTCAGTTCCCCTGCAGTTATTGGTTCAGCTCTCAACAGACTCACACAGATATCCTGAACTAACTAAATAACTGTTAAGAAGGCTTTTATTTTTAAAGTCATAAATACTAGAGAACTAGAAAATAACTTGAGACATATATTCAGTGCGTATTAGATCTCAGAATGTGTCATTTAAACAACATTTGCTGGAGTTATCTGCCTTTCAACAGTAATGGTTTAAAACCACTAATTTGAACAGCATTTGGGTGTTTCCTTTTAAATGGCACTTTTTGTTCTTACACCTTCCTTGTCCTTTTCAATTTTGTTCATAAATAAGGAAAAGATGAAAATAGAGGTATTTTATTCTTTCACTATTTTCTGGGAACAAGCAACTGACACATCTAATACCTACTGATTAATTAGTGCTAAACACATCACTCATTACAGCTTTATTTTGGTTTGTGCCCACATTTTCAAGATTAGTGAAGATGAAATACAGATCTCTGAAAAAAATCCTTATCAAGTTGATTACACGTTTCTGTACTATTTAAGTTTGAACATGAACTTCAGACAGATTTGATAGTATACAACCAAATTTTTGTTACGTGTGCCATAAAATTCAGCTTGGTATAGCATATATTAAAACTAACCAGCTGACCATGTAATCAGTCAGATGTGACAGATTTACTCAAGATGGATAACAGCATACACTTCATATTATATTCCAAAGGAAATCTTTCCAAGTAAGTATGAAGGAAAACATTCTGGAAATTTCAGCACTATTGTTGTAAATACTTGTAAGATAAACTGCTGGATTAATCAAGTGCCTCAAACATACAAGGCCAAAGCTAATGAGCACATCACATACAAGGCCAAAGCTAATGAGCACATCATGAGATAGATAAGTACTAGCAGAAACCAGACAAGGACAACCAAAACTGTGGCAAACGGCAGTGATGAGCCAATTCTCCAAATGAGGAGAAGGAGCCCAAAGGTTCAAGAAAAGTTCACCTCCTGCAAAGACCACAAGAGACCACCTAAGACACCTGCAGATGCTCCTAAGGACTCAAAACGCATGCGTGAAAGACTATGCAGATATTATAATTAGTTCTTAGAAACATAATGAATATGTACGATTATTCCAAGAAATTATTATGAATATGTATCGAAGAGCCATACAAGGGACGGTTGATGCAACATATGGTGTGCATGCTAGGAGGAAAGATGCCCCATGCACCCAGCCGAATAAAGTAATGCCTGCTCTTTAATACACCCAGTGTTAAGGAGTTTTATTCCTGATTTTTGGTGATACTATCAGTGTCAAAAAAATTTTTTTTTAAATGTATAACCTATAAAAAACATCTTTGCTAAAATAGAAATTGCTCTGTATGAGTCTGACCTGATTAAAGCTTATTTCCTCATTGCTGTGTTATTTATCTTTTAGGAAAGGGAGAGAACACTCACATCATTAAAGTTTTTAAACTTTTTTTTAGATAGTGTATGCTTTTCAGAAATCTAATTATTTGTAAGCTGCACCAGGAAAAAAAGTAATTCTTCCATCTCCCTACTTTTTCTCCAAAAGAAACACACACCTTGATGGATTTCACAGGAGCACCTGTGTAATTTCCTAGCCTCTGAGCCTTCCATTATCCCATGAGACATCAGGACCTGCAAGAACCGTCGATGAGCATCAGTCATCTGAGCTGCCATCGCAATATTCCACCAGGCTTCAAATGCTGCAAGAGGTATAAGCTGGAATTAATGCACATGTTCACGCAAATTAAAAATACATAGTCCAAGCATACATAAGACTTCAATTAAACTCTCTAACATTGAATCAGGGCAAAAAAGCAGATCCCCCAGGTTGTTCTCAGAATACCAATGGTGACTAACTCCAAGGTTCCAGGAGAAGGATGCAAAAGATAAAGCCCAACTAATTTTAGCTATGGAATAAAACAACGTAGACATTGCGCTATCATACCCCCAAACCAAAAATAGTAGTGTTGTATGTGTAACAATCAACAGAACACCTTGCATAGTTTTGTGTTAGATGCTTCTGCTTACTACATATCCTAATAATTTGTCTAATTAGAGTGTAACTTACTTCAGACAGAAGATCCTCCTCTAAATGTTCTAAAGAACATCAGAACTAAATAAAAGCATCTCAAGAAATTCCTTGACCACCGCAGCCAAATAATCGTTAACAGTCCACAAGAAAAAAGAAGCTTCCAGACTTCCAGACCCCTCCAAGCTAAAGGACCAAATAACGGACCAAACTGAGAAAAGCTGGTGCGTGCTGAAATTTTAAAGCCTCGCTCTTCCACCCCTCCCTGGCACACGGACGGTCCCCGGCCAGCAGCGCCGAGCCCGCGGACGCGCTCGGGAGAACAGAGCCCAGCACGCTGCTGCTCTTCACCGCTCCCACCTGCCCAGGCGTAAAGCCCCAGCGCACCCCAGGCCCCCGCAGCTGCCCTGGCGCGGGAGATGCCGACGCGGGCACGCTGTTGGACCGATGCGCGCTGGAAGCTGCCCAAGGGAAAACGGGAAAGAGCTTCCTCATCAGCTTTCTTAATTCGTGGCAGCTTTCTTCCTCACTGAGAC